GGAGTGGCTAACCAAGCCTTTCCATTCTTTTCCTCCTAGGTGTGGAGCAGCACATTTTTCGCAGCAGCTGCAAATGCATCATCCTCTTCCTTCTCCTTTACATCTAATTCTTCCTTTAACCTGCAAACTGGCAAATTGGTTGAATTACTTGTGCACAGCATGAGTAACCTGATGCATAAGGTTGCTCAAAAATTCTTTTTAATGGATCTTAAATAAGATAGTGCCAGGAACACAGAGGGAGGGGCAGCAACTGCCATTGGTGTTCCTGCAGCTGCAGCTTATTGCCAAAATGGGCTAAAAGCAATGAGGAGGGTGGTGATGACGAGGTAGCAAACCTTACCTGGGTCCTAAACACTATAAAGGAGGAAAGTGAGGGAGAGGCACAGCAATGGTGAGGTGGGATTTTGTTCACGGAAAGACATAATTTGCAGAGGACTGGGTGGATCAGCCATCACATTCCAACGGATGGCACTGCCCCAGTTGCAGGTCACTGTCATTCCTCACACTGCTCCACATAGCTCAGCAGTCTGGGCCTTTCTTTAAACACATCTGCTGCCAACAGATGGAGCAAACATGGATTTGAAAGTTTCAATGTTCTCTTTGTTGGCACTATCAATTACTGCCAGCTGAATCAATTATTGCATAAATAAGAGTAATTAGTTATTTTGAATAATACATTGTATCTCTTATATACAGATTATTATTATTATACATTTATATTATTATTTAAAAGAGGAAAAACAAATAATAGTAGATATTCTGAGTGCTTGGTTCACTTTAAAATGTACAGCTCTTCTCCATTATAATGGAGTGAACATGAATTCTAAGTAAAACTACAATTGTACGTATACTGTATACACACATTTCCAGTAATCCAGGATGGAATTAATCACTTCAAATGAATCTGTGTGCTGAAGTACAGGGCTTCTGGCTTTCATACACAGTATACAATGTGAAAAACAAGATCCTTAACTAATCTGAAAACAGATAATTGCAGCTAAAGCTAATTTTTAGCATATGACTCAAGACTGCTAGAAAAAGACATACAATAAGAAAACACATATATTACACAGCTTTACTAAACATGATATATGTTAATAACTAAAAACTGACCACATGCATTGCACCTAGATTGCACAATCTGCTAAATTAAAGTAGAAGTAAAGGCTAATATAATCTAGTTTTAAAAAGTTGCCCCCCTACTCATACATACGCTGCATACTGTTTGTAAAAGAGCTCAGTATAAATGCCTTATTTTAGTGATCATATGATAACTAAGCTCTTCTGTGTGTCAATTAGTCGCTTGACAACAATACAGAATTCACAGACCTGTGACATCACCTGCCAGTTTCTATTGCTCCCCCATTGTCGGTGCTCCCTCCTATCAGCTGCAGCAGTCTCTCACTGATACAGAGGCGATGGTGCTTAGGTGCTTAAAAAGTATTTACACTGAGCTATTTTACAAACAGCATGTGTTTATTAGCAGGGGGAACACAACATTTTCCTTATACACTGCTCAAAAAAATGAAAGGAACACTTTTTAATCAGAGTATAGCATCAAGTCAATTAAACTCCTGGGATATTGATCTGGCCAGTTAAGTAGCAGAGGGGGTTGTTAATCGGTTTCAGCTGCTTTGGTGTTAATTAAATTAACAGCAGGCGCACTAGATGGGCAACAATGAGACGACCCCCAAAACAGAAATGGTTTTACAGGTGCAGGACATTGACATTTTTTCCTTACTCATCTTTTCTGACTGTGAAAAACTGCATAAAAACAAAACTAGTTATGGACTCAACCAGTATATTGGGTTTGACTGAATGTATTCATACTGAAAGGCAATAATAAAAAATCTACCACACTCCACAGGTCCTGAGTAACACCGCCCCAAGGGGGGAGTACCCATTAAAACACTGGACAAATCAGTTGGTAACATTAATATCAATACTAGAAAAGCTACAATTACTGGGGAAATTTTGTGAAGTGTTCTTGCCTCCATCAGTAGTCTACAATTGGAGTGGGTGGAGTAACTGGGTGATTTTTCAGCTCACACTCTAGCTTTTGTCAGCTCCCACTCTAGTTTTGAACATTCCGCCATTCATTCCTATGGGACAAATTTCACCACGAAAATGCCAATATTTCTTGAACCATTCGGTGAAACGTTCCACAAAGTAATAGCACACCAATCGGGAATAATCCGCATGTTTCGGTGTATTACTGTCTCTGTAGTGTAAAAACTGTGGGAGGAGTTAGGGTGGTAAATTTGGCTATAATAATAAGAATATATATATGTGAGATAACAGCAGGTGGTCTTGCCATGCAAGAACACTTAATTAATATCTGTGTTCATAAAGGATGCATATGCTCCGTGCATAAATTTACAGAACTTAATCATTCACAGTCCTCTTTACAGGGAACATACTCTATATCATATGTGTATATGTCTGCCAATCAAAATCACCATGGATGGAAGATATAATTGTTGAAGTTCTGTAAGTGGATACGGTTCTCTAATCTAGGGGAGGATGTTACAAACTGTGTGAACCGGGCGGCACAGTGGCTAAATGGTTAGCATTTCCACCTGGCAGTACGCTGGTTTGAATCCCAACCACGGCACCACCTGCCTGGAGTTTGCATGTTCTCCCTGTGCTTGCATGGGTTTCCTCTGGGTACTCTGGTTTCCTTCCACACTCCAAAGACATGCTGAAAGGTTAATTAGCTCCTGTCTAAATTGTCCTTAGTATGTGTATGTATGAATGCAAGTTAGGGACCTTAGATTGTACACATCTTGAGGGTTAGGGACTGATGTGAATGTAAAAAAATATATATATATATGTAAAGCGCTGCGTAAATTGATGGCGCTATATAAGTACCTGAAATAAATAAACCTCCCTTTTACACTGAGCCATCAGTTGGACACATCATATTGGAGATAAAGATAGGAAGTTCCAGATGCTGCATCAACATACAGTACATATGTAATCCAGAGGAGGATATCTGTAATGGCAACTATATAAAGATGATGGCTTCACCTCCCTCTTGTGCCTGATATTGGGGCACCACCCAGGGGAGGACATAAACCAAGAAAACCTCCCTCATACATTGATGGATGACATTCTTGTCCGGGACACATTCATGGAAAATTCATTGATTAGGTTTGGTGAATCTGAAAACAGAGTTTCTCCAAATTTGATAGAGTGGAGGCATGAAAAATTATGTTTTTAAGCAGAATTGGATAACAACGAGGCAGTCCCCTTTAGGTACATAAGCACATCAGCAGAGAAATCTCTTCCAAAGGATAGCAAAATAGGAACATCAAAAGCATCAAAGTTGTGATTTAAGCAGAGTTAGATAACAATAGAGGCAGTCCTCTTGAATAAATACTGACATATTGGCAGAGACGTTCCTTCCAAGGTTGGTAGACGTAAAGCATCAAAAGAGCATTTATGGTAGAATTGGAGTACTTATCACATTGTAGAGGTCCATTGAAGATTCCTTGGGGGGCCTGGGAGTGTGGTAAAAGTCCATTCCTGACCGGTTTCGCTAGTACAACCGGCTGCCCTAGAGGTTGGCTCAGAATTTGTTTGACTGTTCACTAGTTTTGCATTGGCTAGGGTCAGTGTCACTACCAGTAGCATGAGCGGATACCCGGATCCTACAGTCCTTCAGAGGTTGCACAGGCAGTCCAACTTCTCCAGGATGGCACACCAATACGTACCATTGCCAGAAGGTTTGCTGTGTCTCCATGCACAATCTCAAGAGCATGGAGGAGATTGCAGGAGACTTGTGCTTTTCACAAATGAGAGATGGTTCACCCTGAGCACATGTGACAGATGTGAAAGGGTCTAAAGAAGCCATGGAGAATGTTATGTTGCCTGTAACATCGTTCAGCATGACCGTTTTGGTGGTGGGTCAGCGATGTTCTGGGGAGGCATATCCATGGAGAGACGCACAGATCTCTATAGGCTAGACAATGGCACCCTGACTGCCATTAGGTATCGGGATGAAATCCTTGAATCCATTGTCAGACTCTACGCTGGTGCAGTGGGTCCTGGGTTCCTCCTGGTGCACGACAATGCCTGGCTTCATGTGGCAAGAGTATTCAGGCAGTTCCTGGAGGATGAAGGAATTTATACCATTGAATGGCCCCCATGCTCGCCTGACTTATATCCAATAGAACACCTCTGGGATTTCATGTTTCGGTCCATACAATGCCACCAGGTTGCACCTTAGACTGTCCAGGAGTTCAGTGATGCCCTGGTTCAGATCTGGGAGGAAATACCATCCATTGTGTCATTAGGAGCATACCCCAATGTTGACAGGCATGCATACAAGCACGTGAGGGTCATACAAACTACTGAGTACCATTTGGAGTTGCTGCCATGAAATTTCAGCAAAATGGACTAGCCTGCTGCATCATTTTTTTTATTGATTTTCAGTGTGTCTTTGAATTCAGTCCTCTGTAGGTTGATACTTTTCATTTCCATGAAACAGTGGGTCATGCTTACATTCCTAACACATTACCCAGTCCATATCAAAATAGATTTTCAGCATATTTTTCCCCATTGAGATCTGATGTGTTTTCAAACTGTTCCTTTAATTTTTTTGAGCAGTGTACTTTAAAGTGTTACTAAACCCAGGACCCTGCATCCACTATATCTGGTCTCCCACAGTACACAGAACATAGAAGTGAAATTATTTTAGTAAATATAAACTGCTAAATACCTTTTCTCATCAGCAGTTGGAACAGTCTTGTGGCTTCTATCTGTGTCCAGCCCACCACTAGCTAAAGCTTGTAGGTGGAGTTTCCTTTCTGCTCTAGGAGGATGGAAATCCCCTGACCTCTGTCTGGATAGTGCTGATTAGCCCTGTGCTGATCACATGCACTCTCCCAGAAAAAAAAAACCTCTCTAGCAATATCCACCAAACTGAGCATGTGCATGCCTACGGTTCAGTCTGGATATATGTGGTGGTCGCTAGAAAAAGGGGAGGAAAGTAGAAGAAAGGATCATACATCCTTTTTACACAATGCAGAGGATTAACCCATTAGGTTCCACAGTGAGTACAACAAGCATGCTTTACTGCATATACAGACTGATTTTACTGTTGTGGGTTTAGTAACACTTTAAAATTGAACTACACAGAAATAGTGAAGTGTTTGTATTCTCCTAAAATACAATGCAATCAATTTAAACTGGGATGATTACATATCTCCCAACTTTTGAACTTGACCAAGAGGGACAATTTTCATATCCTGCAAAGTTTAGGTTGTAGAAGTGTGTACTGTCCAGAATACAAGAATACAAGTGGTATCACACAGACTTCAAGACTAGGAGTGTGTAATGCACAGAGCACAGGGGTCCAGAATGCCTAATACACAGAGTGAAAAGTCTAGGAGAGGCAAGAGTGCTTATCGTGCAGAGTACAGGGTTCAGGAGTGCATAACTAACAGAGTACATGGGTCAAGAGTACATAACTCAGAGAGTGCAAGAGTCAGGGTTATGTAATGCAGAGGCCAGTGTACAGAGTACAATCAAAAATTCCCATATCCTCCCCACCCAGTACAGATCTTCCCCATAGCCTCATTTTCCCACATAGTTCTGATTTCTCCCCACAGGCAGTACAAACCCTCTCTCTTCGGGCGAATACAGCCTCCCTCTCTGCAGTACAAACCTCCTCCCTCCTAACCAGTAAAAGCCCCCTTCCAATACTGACCCCCTCCCAACCATTATATGTCCCCCCCCAGTAGAGACCCCATGCCTTCCTATCATTACAGACCCCCCTTCCATTACAGACCCCCTCCCCACCAGTGCAGACTGCCTCCTGCAGTACAGACACCTTCCCTTCACTTCTGTAAGGACTCCCCACTAGTAGAGACCCTCTAGCTCTTGTACAGACCCCCTTCCTCCCCATCAGTACACACACGCTTGCAGTACAGAACCCTTCCTTCCCCACCAGCACAAACACTCCCTCCAGTAAGGACCTCCTCTATCCCCACAGCACATACTCCCACCACCGGTATAGGCCATCTTCACTAGTACAGACCCTCCTCCCTCAACATTATACAGACCCCCTCCAGTACAGACCTCATCCCTTCAGTACAGACCGCATGACCCAGTACAGACCCCATCCCTCCCCACCAGTATAGACCTTGACTCCAGTACAGGACCTTCACCAGTACATACCCTTTCCAGTACAGACCCCCACTCCAGTACAGACCTTCCCCATTGGTAAAGACCATCTTCCAGTACAGACCCCAGGTCAGAACAGAAGTACAGTATGAAATGTACAACATTGTGTCTATCGTGTAAACACACACAGAGTACAGGGGTCAGGAGTGTGTAATGCACCAGTACCATCCCATTCTCGAGCACAGATCCCCTCCCTTGCCACCAGTACAGACCCATGGGTGCATGGATGACATAACAGATACGTGTTAAACAACAATGTGACGCAATCATTTTCATTGCAATAGGAATACTGTCACATGTTTTCTTGTTGCATATACAGAAGTACCAGGTGTACTGCCACCATGACTTCCAGTATCAAATCCCTTTTCTGGCCTGACTGCTCCTCTTTCACTATTTTAGGATTTACTGGCAATATTGGTTGTTTGATTATAACTACAATAATAAGGAATTACCACTTATATCTAGTCTTTATTAGGGAAATTGGACTAAGATTGACTATTTTTGTAATTTCTTTATTGTTATAGATTGTATATGCATCATTTCATAACAAGTGAACCATTTGGGAATTGCATTTGCAGTTTGTTTTTTTTTTCCTTCAAGGTCAATATGCCAAATACTTTCACAGTATAATAAAGAGGGGAATTTTTCTTTGTATGACTTAACCTTATTTTCTTTGAATAAAATTGTTCAGTACTTAGGTTTAAATTAATCTGCTAAAACATACTTTTTTTTATTGTTCATACATTATTTTAATAAAAGGATTTGGGCATCTACTTCAAAAGCTTAGCCCTATCTCATTTAATAATCACTTCAATGTTTAGTTTAACATGAAAGATATTTTAAACATTCTTTTATAAAATGAAAACTTTGTTATCATTGATATTTAGAGGTCTATGTACATGTGGTCATTTTTTTCATTTATTTATACTGTAATGATTTGATAAACAGGCGGTCTGCTAACTTAAGCCACAACAGATTCATACTGTCAGCCTCCTCAGTATTGTCTTGAGGGAACTGTTTCTTAACCTGGAAGTCAAGTAGTTCCTCTCCTGAGGGGTACATACCTCTTCCCTCTACTACTATCTCACAAGTGGATTTTGTTCTGAGTTTGACAGAAGACATTTGTTCTTGAAGTACAGCTATGGTAATTGCGTTCTCCTGTTTGTACATAGTTCTGAAGAATCACAGTATCCCTATCCAACTTACTCCAAAAAAAGAAAAAGAAAAAGAAAAAAGAAAAGACCCCTAGACAATTGGACTGTTGCTGTGTACCTGGCTGCCTCTGCACTAATCGGGAAAGAACCAAATCAGCTGGCCTTTTTTGGGGGTGAGCGCTACATAGTAGTTTATCCTATATTTTATAACTCAAAGGCACCCAATCTCTAGTGCTTTCCCCTGCAGACCCACTTGCTCAATGATTTATTGCCACTTTTTTCCAGTTAAATGACACCCATCGTCATTCAACCCACTCACTTATGTGGGAGGGGTGTGCGACTGAGCCTGGAGTTGGGCTTTAATAATAAACAGGTGTTGTTTCATTGGGCCTCCACCTTAGGACAATGTACATAGAAGGAGTAAAATAAATTTCTGAATAACTGTCAATAATCTTTTTAGACAGGAACCTGCATGATTAATGATGGAATATATGAATCTGACAACAATATTATAAAAGTGTGACCCATTCAAATCTGTCAGCTCTGGTTTTGGATGAAAGAGCATGGGTTTAGTTATCCAACAATGTCTTAAAACTCTGGAGACCCCGGTGATTAAGCTGTTCTTACTCAGCTTGGTCAATCATCCAAGCAGCCAGCAGTCAGTGTTTTCTTTGTCTACGTACTTGCTCAAGGGCATTGAAGGAAAATATTTATTATACTGGTTTCTACTAGATAAATAATTTTGTTTATTTATTTTCCACGTTCTTACTTTTTGTTTGCTGCCCATTCTTTTTTTCTCTTTTTTTTTGTGTGTTGTGTTTTTTTTCCACACCTTTGATATTGGATCTTAATGAAGAATATCAAAATTGGTGGCCTTTAAAGGAGCTGTTGGGTGTGCTGACATGTAATGGTAGTAATCTATATCATTATCTTGTAAAATATTTCAGGTTTCTACCATCATAATTTGCCCATTCTCTATCCACAACTGTAGCATGTCCACAGTCTCCAACCATGCTTGCAGCATGTCTGCAGTCTCTGACTAATTACTGCAGTATGTCCACTCCCTTACCGATTTGCTGCATTAAACATACTGAACAATGTACTGTATGCCCTTTGAAGATAAGGGGGGTTTCATCTGAGGACCCCTATATCAAGTAAATTGACTATTATTGCTTTAAAGAGCTATCCCACTTAAAAACTGATGTGTTAATACTGAGCGGACAGAGTAAAATTTGCCATATGTGGCTCTAATTTATTTTGATTCCTGCTGAAACTGGAGCTGTGGATGACCCTATTGGCACCTCTTGGTTCAGCAAAAATTGAATTTTCAAACGACTATTGTCAAAGGAGCTGGGTGGAAACATATTTTCCAAGCAGTGCCTGTATCCAATCAGATGAATACAATAGCTGCTGTTTAGAGTGGATGAATCTACTACATTTCTCTTGTTCAACCTGTAGACTGAATGAAAGACATCTATTCATGTAGGCTAGCCTAAGTGTAGGCCTTTGTTTAGGCTTCCAATACCTCTAATGGTGCCAAAAGTGGAGATCTCATTTAAATAAATTCCTTGCTGAGGAATATACAGAGAAAAAGCAGACAACCACAGCATCAGGCAGGCCATAGATTATGTGATTTTCTTTCCTGCAACCATGAGTTGCAGGAAAGAAAATAGCTTGATTCCCTCACAAAACACAGTCAGTGTTGATGGGAGAAATCCCTCCCTCTGAGCTGCTGTGTTCTCCTATCAGGGAACCGGCACTGCCAGGAGAACACTATGATAACTGCTAGCGGCTACAGCCACAGGCAGTAATCACACGCTAAAAATCCAACATGCTGGTTGTAACAAAGTCGATGGATGGATCGACTTGGGTACAATGAGCCTGCCCATAGGTGGACCGAATCTCGGTCAGTCTATGCTGAACCAGCTGAGATTCGATTCATCTACTGTACTTACAGCTTAAGGCTCAAATGCTCACTAGTAGTTCTATGTGACTTACCCAACATTATGTTGTTAACATGTCAGTTTGTAAATAAGAAATGTTAAAAACTGAGAGAGGAGATATTGTTTGTGTGTTAGGAACTCCATACATTATGCCTTGTATTTATAGTGTATTTTTCCTTGTGCATCTATATATTTAATTTACTTTGTGCACTTGTTAGGTGGCAAAAAAAGGTTGTGCGTTGCACATAGCAATCATATCAGTATGTGTCTGTTGTTTGCGTCAGTTTCAAACTTGTAGAAAAGCAATCTGAACTAAGGAAGAAAATAGTATGTAGAACTAGATATTGGTGAAGGATATGGAATTCCTGGGACAATTCTTCCCTTTTATAAAGGAGCACAAGCACAACTGTCACTAATATGAATGTCACATATATTCTATTATGTTCTATAAAGCATTGATCAGGAACAATACAAATAAATGCAATATTTGGTTTAAAATGTTTTTTATATTTTATTTTCCTTACTATAAAAACATTTCATGAAAAACTCTAGTATATTACAAACAAGTTTAGTAAAACAGCACAATTCCAATTTGAAAAACCCATTCAAATCATTCTTGAGCATACTCCCTGAATTTTTTTGTGCATTTTTGAAAAAAAAAAACATAAACATATCATACAGTATAATACAAATATATACTACCAACTGGTGTTTTATTAATTACGTGGGAGAACAATACAGTTGTTTTTCCCCTTAATCCTAGCATATTATGAAGACAGAGAAATACCCATATACTAGAAAATATAGCAAACCATACCAAAGAAAAAAAAAAAGTATCACTATATTCCATGAGCTCTAAGAGAGTTGTATATTAACAGTAAATAAATATTGCTGTAATGGCATATATAAAAAGGTATAGTTAATCAGTCTGAGGTATCTTCTGCTAAAATGTACATTTGCACTAAAGATGGGATTAACACCATTTGGTATAATAGTAAAATATTCTTTACAAAGTTGATATGAGCTCATTTGAGAGTGTTTGGAGAGATTTACAGTATAAACAGTATAATATCTGGTCATTTTACTGACAAGCTAAACAAGAAATTCAGTAAGAACAGGGTAATTCAACCCTCTAGCGGGATTGCAACAATATAATGAACTGCCATTGATGATCTGCCCCAGATTTGGAGCTTTTTCTATAGCAACCCATATAAGCAATATGAGTCTTGAAGGAAAGAAGAGCTAAGTGTGGGAGCATCCTACCAACACTCCCCGGTCAGTCCATGTACAACAATATTATCTCTATATACACATATTTATTTTTGTATGATATGAAGTCATATGTTAGGGCAATGTCTACATACAAGCATAAGGACTTCCAGCCTGTTCAGCACAAGGGAAATAAAATGTTAGATAGAAGAAGGATGATATTTTTAAAAGCATCTAACTTCACAGCAAGGGGCAAAGCTTATTATCAGGGCTGATCCAGGTATGCCAGATATTCAACTAATAGTGTGGGAGCCCTGTGCATCCTTCCTGTAGATAGAAAGGACATTGATGGACCCAGGTCTTTAAATGTAATGCATTGTAATGGCTGCAGCTTGACACAGTTAAGCTGACTGTAGTTTGCTGCTAATCTTAATGGTACATTTGTTAGGTAAATCTTCCAATTTAAATACCTTCAGTGATACAGAATCATCCATTTAGAGAAGTATTTAGTAAAATTGCATAACAGCAAGGGTATTAGGAGTAACAACAAAACTATATTTAGGTTTTGGTGCAGTTTACTGGGTATATTTGAGCAAAGTAGCTTTGACCCTCATTGATGTCTGGTTGACAATGCATTAAATTTAAGAGGATGTCATGCTTGCAAGTTTTATGTATTATGGTGATGTTATGGGGCCAAAGTTTTTATTTTGCATTGTAGACCATGACAGGCTGACTAAGTTTCTCTTTCTGTATCCTCTATGACAGTTGCCAAGTTGTACTTCCCATGGGTTCTGTGGGATGGCTTATACCAGGGGTGTCAAACTAACTGGAGGCCCACCAGCTATTGCAAAACTACAAATCCCATCAAGCCTCTGCCTTTGGGAGTCATGCTTGTAACTGTCAATCTTGCAATGCCTCATGGGACTTGTAGTTGGGCAACAGCTGGAGGGCCGCCAGTTTTACACCCGTGGCTTATACTATACACTGCCCTGTGTGGTTCTAATTTCATGAAACGTGAACACCACGCAAATCACATCATTTAAAAGGCATGGTTCAATGTACCATACATACCAGGAATACTAGAAAATAATTTCAGTGTATCAGAACTAAAAATTATACAAAACACACAGATAGTATTCTTTCAGAATAACACTAAGATTTGAATAGAAATAGGATATTATATACATAAATATATATCTTTTTTAACCCAGTTTCCTGCACTGAACATATTTAGTACATAGGCTTTATCAGTCAATAACAAGCTATCCTGATCCTAAGTGCTCTCCATACACGGCTTAGGGTCATTGTGGAAGACACAATAATACGGTAAATGGGAATTGTTCAGAGACAAATATACAAGGTCTCACTTTTGCCTGAATTAGGAAAGGCCAGCACTGCACCAAACATAGGCTTTCTCTCTTCTTAAAACTTGCGCTGCAAAAATCAGAGGAGGGATATACAGTATGTGGTTGTTTGGGACAGACATACAGACAATTCATTTTTCAGGTGCATTTATAAATAAGACATGCTGTTATTAGTAACCCAGAACCACATTTATAGAATGGAGTATCTTTGGACATATACTACAGAAAACTGATAAATGGTTTGCTTTGGGAAAATACGTCAGAAGTAAAATAATGGCCATATACTGAATGTATTTGCAAATGTGATTGCTCTGAAAATAAAGGTGCATTTTATACTCTGTTGAACCTTATGGGCATAACAGAAAATGGATTAGCTTATTGTTTTTCAAGCAAGTAAAGTGTCTAATGCAGTTTTGAAAAGCAAAGTGTGTCTGTTTTGCTACTGTATTTGCTTTTAGTTTTGGGTATAGTATGGAAGGAACAGAACCCCTGTCAAGGTTTTGTTTGTCTGTGTTCCCACTAGGTTTCACCATCTATATTTGTTCTGGTGACCACTGTCACAGAGGCAGAAAGTGAGAAATCCAACATTTTACAGTTTACAGTACAGTTACAGTTTAACAGTTGTCAACTATTGCGTCTTCAGAACAGGAAGTAAGAGGAATTTCCCCTAACATGACAAAGACAGCAAAAATACATTTTCCCTACTAAATCCAAAAGTAAAAAGTGCTGCCTATTCATACACTTTAGACAACCAGCATTTCAACAGACCAACATATTAATATTCAGGGAATTGGCTAACAGAGAATACACATTTTTAGTTAACATATTACTGATGTCCACAAGGGCACAATTACCAAGATCTGCAGTGCTGACAATGTGAAATTGAATAACATTATCAGCAGACTTCAAAAGATGCATATAAGATTGATATATATATATATATCTATATCTATATCTAGCTCAGCCATGGCTTGATTGGGGAACAATCGTACTACCTTAAGCTTTTCCTGACTCTGGCAGACAACCCCTGCCTAAACCTTCTCAGAAGAATTAATTGGTCAGGGCGATTTTCCCAATTTTCTGCTACTGTTTTCTCCCCAAGATAGGCTGGAGCCAGGGTTTTCTCTATAAAAGTCATGTTTGTACATCTTTATAAGAAAAGAAACTGTATATGTGCAGCCAGCCTCTGTAGGTATGCAGGCTGCTTAAAGTGGAGCTTAAATCTCTCGACCAACATTAACTATTTAAATCCTTATGCTGCAAACGTTAGTAAATAGATAGGAAAGTATATCATGTTTACTTGTTATCATTTTGTTTGTACCTTTCTTCAGTTACTTCCTGGTTTCCAGGCCTAGGCAAATTACGTCATTCATCCCAGGAGGGAGCAGGGGTTTCTTAGCTAAGCACACACTCCCTCCTGCATGCCTGAGCTAAGGGCAGATTGATTCCAGGAAGTAAATGCTACATGAATCGTCTGCCCTTACTTAAGATGACCACAGCCAGAAATGCTAGGGGTTTTTTTTTTTTGTCAAAGTGGTTTCTCAGCGAAATAAAGCATGGAGATGTGGATGGATGGGGTGATTTGAATTAATAAAAATGAATTAAATAGGTTTTGGTTTGTGGTGCTCAAATGCACTGCAGTTCTGCTTTAAGCTTTTAGATATCAAACAACTGATTGGGTAGATAAAACTATACAATGACCATATCTGACAAATTTATGTCTTATAAACTAGGTGTTGCCATTGTTTTCTAGTTTGCACTATTTCTGATAAGGCCAGATCCACTAAATATTAGGTAACCAAAACTTCAGGTACACTGTAGGTAAAATGTATGCCAGAAACGGTTACCAAGTGCAACAGTAGCTTTCCTCTTCTCTATAAAAGTCTGAGTACTAACATGCATAGATCTTGATCCACACCAAAATGCTGTACATCCAGGCACCCTACCTTTCCTCATGTTTACTATTATTTCATACCTAAAGGTTTATAAATCCAGAATCTTAGGGCTAGAGTAGATATTCACAGATCTGTACAATGGTTCAACTATTCATACATATTATGTGCAAAATACCAGAAATATCATGACAAAATTGAAATCCAACTGTGAATAAAACTCTACATCACTTATGACTATGATGCTAGCTTTGAAATAGAGGTTTTGAAGGCCTTTAAAGCCAAACTCTAGACAACTTTTTTTGTTGTGGATACAGTGGGGAAGACTTTACATTTCTGTAAGGCGTTCTGTTTGTGATTCCATTGATGAGATTTTCAAAAAATGAGGAGGGGGTGAATTGTCAATAGGATAGGGTAGCAATAAAACAGAAGTTCTATGTCCCTAAAACATTTAGGTTTTTTTTTAAATATGTATCCCCACTGGGGAGGTTTTCTTGTTTTGACAGGAGGTGAAGGGAAATCTACCCAATAGGAACATACATGACAATAAAAAAACTCAACTGAACCTATTCCATTGTCACACTATTCAAAACTGAAGGAAATAGTTGGAGCTAAGCTTTCACTATTCGGTATGATGTTGTAGTTCACACCCAGAAATAAGGAGACTACTAGGGGCTTTCAGTATGAAGAAAAAAGTCCATTATGTTTACTTTTCAAGATGCACATTTTTCAGAATCAGTCTCTACTACAGGCATGAGCATTGTTTGCAAAAATGTTCCGGCATAATTCATCATCCAGTATCCTCCACCGATCTTTATTCCAGAAGCTCATCCATGATTTTATCACTTGTTTCCATGTAGTCAATTTCAGTAGTTCTAGGAATATAAACATGTGCATGTATAATGCATAAATAATCAACCCTTAAAAAGTGTTCCGTACCACGTGTGTTGGTACCAACAACAGTCTTTGGACTCATTTAGAAAAACTGTCTTATAGCCATTCACTCTTGTGTTAAGCCACAGGCAAGGTTAATGATGCTTGGAGGAAAGTGGGTTATGGATCCAATCGGATATAATAAGTGACATGCTTCCAATCATAAATATGACTCCAACAATAAGGAATACAAGGGCCTGTAGGGCAAAAGAAAAACATTGAAATTGATCAATGAACATCCTGTTCTACAGAAAGTCAATTTTTTTAATATCAACATAAAGCTTTTAAAACAAACTAGTTGGGATGCTTAAAAAAGAGTAATACATGGGATGAAATATTTTTCCTAGGTAAACCAATCTTCCAAACCCCTTCCAGTGCACAGCCATGTGATCTCTGTTCTTGGGATCAAATGCTTAAATTACACTTAACAATATATTTATTCTTCAAAAATAATCCATGCACATCCACTATTTAAAGTGTTACTAAACCCAGGACCCGGCATTCACTCTATTTGGTCTCCCACAGTACACACTACATGGAAATGCAATTATTTTAGTAAATATAAACTTCTAGATACCTTTTCTCATCAGCAGTTAGATCAGTCTTGTGACTTCTATCAGTGTTCAGTAGAGCTCTGGTTATAGCTTGTAGATGGAGTTTTAATTCTGCTCTAACTCTCCTATGAGGCTGCAAGACCCCTGACCCTCTGTCTAGACAGCACTGACTGGCCCTGTGTTAATCACATGCACTCTCCCAAGAAAACAAAATTCTCTAGAAATACACACCAATCTGAGCATGTGCAGATTGCTTCCAAGGCTCTGTTCTATCAGCATATGGATTGGGGACAGTTGAAAAAGGGGTGAATCAGAGAAGACAGGATCAAACATCCTTTTAACACAATGCAGGGGATTAATCCCTTAGATGAATATAGTGAGTGAGTATAATAAACATGCTTTACTACATAAACAGATTGATTTTACTGTTGTGGGTTTTAGTAACACTTTAATGCATTCATTGCATTAAGGTAAAAAATGTTTAGGCATTGGATTTGGCCCCTCACCACCTGCTCTAGGAGGATGCAGGACCCCTGACCTCTGTCTGGGCAGTGCTAATTGGCCTTGTGCGGAGCTCATGCACTCTCCCAAGAAAAAAAAAAAACAATACACACCAAACTGAGCATGTGCAAAGTGTCTCCACACGATATGTCTTATCAGGAGATAAGAAGGGGGCACTGGAAGAAGAGGAGGATCAGAGAAGCCAGGATAAAAAAGCATTTTTGCACAATGCAGAGGATTAACCCCTAGGTTCCACAGTGAGTATAACAAGCATGCTTTACTGCATATACAGACTGATTTTACTGTTGTGGGTTTAGTAACACTTTAATGGCCCTGTGATTTATTTTTCAAGAAATCTTACTGTGCTTTTCTACCACCTTGTTATGTCCTCTCTGAGCAACCAGATTTCTCCTTTTCTCCTCACTTGAGGATAAAAGTTGTTGTGGATATGTACATTGCTCTATGCACACTACACATCCTATTGTCCCTGGGGAACAAGCAAGATAGGGTGGCTATGTTCCCACATACAGTGGGACCATGGAGAATGAACACAGTCCTCCTCTAACTGGAAGTTGGATCACAGCAGCAAAAAAAAGACACAAGAAAAAAGAATTTGGAGATTTAGAGGAGGCAGCAATACCAGGTACGTACTTTTTTGAGTTAAGAAAACATATTTGAATAGATTTTCTTTTTAATCAGCGTCACTGTAAGCCTTTGGTTATGTGAGCAGCACAGGAGGAAGTTTGCAGCGTTTTTCTCCAGTTAATGAGTATTTCAATCACTCTTGTACTTTTGACATTTGGGTATATGCATGTTTTAATGATATGTTACATTTTTTTGCTTTTATTTATGCTGCCCATATGTTGCCAAAACGTTTGTCTTTTATAGTAATAGATGCAATAGCATCTATGAAGTGAATTCTACTTCCAAGTCTTGAATCTTTTGCTATTTTAACAGTCTAATAGCATGTTTGTTTCAACATGTTGGAAGACTTCTATAATTTGTTGCACCTTTTGTGAAAATAGGAAAAAAACTAGGTCAGATTACTATGGTTTATGCTTGGGATGAATAACCACATTATGCAGTGTGGAACAGCACCCCCTACAGCTGTGAATCACTTATAACATTGTTTAATACATTCAACAATTGTTCTACATGAATGAGTAATTGTTCTTTGCCTCTACATTTCTAGGGCGTGTAGTGCAACTTGTTTTAACATAGATAACTGGCTAGGACAAGAAAGGCAAATGCTTTTGTTCAGTTATTGTGAAATCGGAAATAATACAATTTGAAAGAAAACATATTTATTAAATATGATTTATATAGTAACATCTAAATTTAACTACTGTGCAGTAAGTTGCATATAGAAGAGATTTTGTATTATAGGCTTGAAAGGAATTATGCCAGTGTTTAGGAAGGCAACCTAATCATATTTAATTGTAGAAATTCTAAGTATCACAGAATATCTTTGTTTTGCAAACTTTCACTGTCTTCAGTGTACTGTATAAACTGTGCAATTCACTGACACCAAACATGTGATGAATGGATCAATACTCCCTCTGCTGGCCAGAAGAGGCAAACATATGAGCTTTCTTACACTTTTAACAAAAGGATGCATAGCTCCTGTTATTGATGGTTGCGCATAAGCAAGGGTTTACACCTTCAGAGAAATCCTTTAAACTGGTTTAAAAGATAAAGCACTGGAGGGCTGGAACCCTGCAATCATTTTAAAGCAAAATGTATCATTTGTTATAGCTTATGCATTAAAGTAGTAGTAAAATCTTCTTGCTAAAAGCAAAAAATGGGCATCCCTGCAAGTTTAACCACTTGCCCTCCTGAGGATTTACCCCCTTCCTGACCAGGCCATTTTTTGCAATATGGCGCTGTGTTATTTTAACTGACAATTGCGTGGTCATGTAACACTGCACACAAATTAAATTTATGTCCTTTTTTTTACACAGAGATTTCTTTCAGTGGTATTTGATTGCCTGGGTTTTTTTAAATTTTTTGCGCCATTAAAAAAAAGCCCACCAATTTTTAGAAAAAAAACAATATTTTTGACTTTTTGATATTAACCTCCCTAGCGGTATGATTATATCATATTTTTGGTGCTGAAAGCGGTACAATTATTTTTTGCATGGAAATATGTAGTTTTTTTATTGTTAGGGCTGTAATTTTTAGGAATAACTCACTGAAATCTGTCTGAACAAGATTCTAAATCATACATTTAATTCAATAATATAATCAAACCAAAAACACTGAAATTTGAAATATAGCGCCAAGTTCGCACATCACTGAGCAAAGTCGCAGAATCGTTTTTTAGTGTTTGATGACGAATTTCTCCACGAATCATTATCACTCAATTCTGCAAGTGGTTCTGATTTACTATCGCTGTTCTCTAGCTGATCTAAACCCGCTTTTGACCTAAAGGGACACTTTTTGGACGCCATGGACTTTTCTAAGTTTCCAGGCAGAAAGAACAATCAAAATGCAGGCAGGGCACAGGACAAAGCACTAGGGACAATATGTATGTGAAATATGGGTTGAAACAGTAATGTTTTACCATGTAAAATCGTTTTGAAAAAAATGACATTTTTTTTTAAAAATTTTCAAATTTCCCCGCCGCCGCGCGGGCGCCCGTACGTCACGACGTCACAGGGACTGGAACACAGGAGGCGGATGCCGGCATCAGCCAGAGGAGATGGCCGGGGACGCTGCAGGGGACACATTGCGGGAGCGAAGGACAAGGTAAGTGCTGCAGGGACTCCCTATACAGCGCTGCATGGTAAGCCCGAGTGTAGCTCGGGGTTACCGCTTTTGGTACAGACATTTTACCCCGAGCTACACTCGGGAATACCACCAGGGAGGTTAAACATGTCCAGTATAAAAATTTTAAGTCAAATTTGGTCAGAAATTTAGTACATGTAAATTAATTGGTTTATGTGAACATTATAGAGTCTACAAATGACGGTATAGCTACTGGAATTTTTCTTTTATACTATTAATGGGGGCAATGTGCGACTTATGGCGGGACTGTGGCGGGCATTCTGACACAGGGGGAGAACTGATTCTCTGTCACTGAGATCACCAGTGACACCAATACAGTAATCAGTGCTAATAAAAAAGTACTGACACTGTACTAATGACACTGGGCAGGAAGGGGTTAACATGTGGGGCAATCAAAGTGTAAGAACACTGCTTTGTACAAAGCAGTGTGCAGGAGATGACAGGCAAGAGATTTGTATTGTTTATATACAGGTGATACACAGCGATCGCCGGGTTCCGGCTGGGAATCGCTGGCTGGGTCCCAGTGAGCTACAGGTGAGGCTGCCAGCCTAACTGGAAATGAAAAATCATGTATATATGTACATGATTTTGTGCACCCCTGCCGCCCTGTAGCAGTATTTTCTGCTATAGGGCAGCGGGAAAGTGTTTAAAGAAAAATTTGTATTTTCCCATGCAGTGGGCTGTGCATGCACTGCATGGGTTAACTGCTCACTTTAGTCTAGGGGATTGCAGAGTGCAGATATACTTACCTAATCCACTGACTGCCCCCCTCCCGCGATGCTCATGCCCTCCTGTACACTAGAAGTCTTGTGAATGGACTGTTCCTGACGTCATCACGTCCTTAGTCTAGCTCTGGATGTGAGGACGGCAGGAACAGTCCACCACTGGATGTTGTTTTCCAGAGGATCAAAGAATTGGGTAAGTGTAGCTTTTCCTTGCACCCCTGGACAAAACGAGCACTTAACCCATGCAGTGCAGGTACAGCGCCACTACATGGGAAAATAACATTTTTGCCCAAAGTTCTTCTTTAAGTCATAATGTACTAGTATACTCTGCATACTAATACATTATGACAGATGTACCTACAAAAAGAGCCCTCCAGATCTATGATGACGCAGTTCTCCCTGGTCCCCAGCACCTTCCATCTGTACCTGGTCTTCTTTCCAGGTTTTTTTTTATCCTTGGCCACTTGAATAGCCAGGCCATGTTGATGTCACTCCCATGTATGAGCAGATGAGTCACATCACTGAGGCACACAGAGTGGGCCGTAAATGTGATCTGAGCTGCTCATGTGTTACTCAGATCACACTACCCACTGCCATGCGTGGGGGGTGGAGGGGGCATTTATGACCTCTAGGGTCACTTCTGTTTTTAACCACTAGCCTACTGGGCACTTATACCCCCTTCCTGCCCAGGCCAATTTCCAGCTTTCAGCGCTAACGCATTTGAATGACAATTGCGCAGTCATGCAACACTGTACCCATATAAAATTTTTATAATTTTTGTGTGACAGATAGAGCTTTCTTTTGGTGGTATTTAATCACCTTTGGGTTTTTTATTTTTTCTTAAACAAACCAAAAACCACTGAAAATTTTGAAAAAAAAAAAGTTTTTTCTTAGTTTTTGCTATAAAATTTTGTAAATAAGTGATTTTTCTCCTTCACTGATGTGCGCTAATGAGGCTGCAGTGATGGGCACTGATAGGCTGCACTGATGGACACTGATAGGTGGCACTGATGGGCACTGATGAGGAGGCACTGGTAGGTGGCACTGATGGGCATTGACCGGTATCACTGATGGGCACTGAAAGGCATCACTGATACATGGCACTGATATAGGGCACTGTTGGGCGGCACTGACTGGCACTGATAGGCGGCATTGACTTGCACTGTTAGGCGGCACTGACTGGCACTGTTAGGAGGCACTGACTGGCACTGTTAGGCGGCACTGACTGGCACTGTTAGGCGGCACTGATGCACATTGATAGGTGGCACTGACTGGCACTGATAGGTGGCACTGATTGGCATTAATAGGCGGCACTGACTGGCACTGATGACGACACTGAAAGACAGCTCAGATGGGCACTGATATGTGGCATTGATGTGCACTGGTATGCACTGATATGTGGCATTGATGTTGCACTGATAGGCACTGGCACATGACACTGATCGGCAATGACAGCTGGCAATGATGGACTTTGACAGGTGGCACTGCTGGGGCTACACTGATCATCAGGGCACATTGATCATCAGTGCCCTGATGATCAGTGTACATGTCCCCTCTGCGGAATGCCGATTACTGGCTCTCCTCTCCTCTTGAGCTGTCAGCCTGACAGCTCAAGAGGAGAGAAATGCAGATAACCGGCATTTCCGTGTTTACATGTGATCAGCTGTGATTGGACACAGCTGATCACATGACCGAGCCGACATCTTCGGCTCTTTCCGTGATCAGTGATCCGCTGTGTCACAGCGCACCGCCTATCACCGCGCTGCGCGCGCTCCCTGAGCCGCGCATATGCGGTGAGAGTGGGAGGACGTCATATGACGTACTCTCAGAATGAGAGAACCACCTTGCGCCCATCATTGGACTATATGGCGGGCGGGAGGTGGTTAAAACCCTGCCCTGTCCGCAGTTTTTGTAATCCCTAACTTTACTACCACTTCAACCATTACACATTACCTGGACAGGAATTGAGTACAAATCTCCTCCATAAGGAAACAACAAAACCTGACAGAGTTTCTAACTGTTTTTTTACCAGCAAACTATTTTTATTATTCACTGCTAGGCTCCATTGCAGGAATTTGTTGCTCCTGCTTCCTGCACTCTCACACACTTTCAATATCTATTGAGGACATAGAGAGCAATAAAAAGTTCACAGAAGTTTTAACCCTCTATTAGCAAGTAACATTTTGATTGGTGTTTGGCTTTACATTAAAGTGGTTGTAAACCTAAAAAATACAAATCAATCTAATCCTACAGTTAAATAGATTTTACCTTTACTAAGCATTTGAGCTTAATTTGGTATCTTGAAGCAATCCCCTTCTCCAGAAATCCCCTGTGCTTTTCTGAACAGAATAAATCTGACACAAGCAGCAGAAAAATGGTGTTGCCACTCCCCTTCTCCTGTGAGTGACAGGCTGTGCTGAAGACGAGACCAGCATGAGCCTCCATATAATACACTGCAAAGGGTGGGGGAGCTGGTGTCCTCTCCCTGCTGGTCTCTGCCTTCACAAGATCGAGAACTCAGCACCAGTGATTTATGACATAGATCGGCATCACTTCAGTAATGCTGTACTTGTCTAGGGAAATTTACTGACAGCTGAATATTGTCCTGCTCTATTCACAGCACCTAGTTTGTGAATTGTTGTTTACAGAGTTTTACATGAGAATGTTTCCTGGTCCACATTGCCACTTTAGGCTGCAGGATTCCTAGGATTTTTAACATTAACCCCTTCCTACCAGCTTTCTCCTGATTAGCACAGATCCTGTGCTGTAAGCAGAGCTGACATAGTCACTGGCACCTGTGTATTCTCCTGAATGCACAAAGGAGACATGCTGGCAGGCATAGAAATGTCAGATAGCTGTGCACTTTCTTGAACCGAGGCTGGAGGGTGTGTATAACTGAGGGATTGTGTGACATCACATCTCCGCATACTGTTCTCTGGTCCTAAGCCACACCCACAGACCAGCAGTTTTTGGAGGGCTGAGACAAGCTAAGGGAACATTTTTCTGAGGTCCTCTCACAGCTGTATGTATGTTTATATTAAAAATGTATTCATTTATGGCAAAAAGTAAATTGTTTTATATTTGCGTTTTCAACCATGTTAAAGCTAAATTTAAATAGCTTATTCCATAGTTTCCAGTTATGTTTTTTTAGGGTAAATAAGATACAGATAGGCAGCAAAAGTGGGAAAGGAGATAATAAGGTTGGCACTTATTGGTTTTTACATTATGTATTATGCACTTTACACAAAATCAGGAACAGACCAAAGTTTCTTTTACTGCTAATTTAATTACAATAAGTTTAATTATGGACAGTTAGTTGGTCTGGTGGGTGGTGTGAGGAATTGAAATGTCAAGATAAATATAATGTTATTTAATGATTGTTATTTAATGATTGTTAACCAGTTCCTTACTGGCTATAGCCGAATGAGGGCGCGGTTGTATTCTGACGTCATATGACGTCCTCTCAGAATTCGCCCTCCTGCGTGCCCTGAGTGGCACGCACCTGGAGATCTCCGTGATCGCTGTGTCCTATGGACACAGCAGATCACCCAAAAAATACAGTTGCCAGTTATCGGCTGCACTCTCGTGAGGAAAACACTGCCGATAACCGGCAGCTGTCACTGAGCAGATTGACACTGATGATCAGTGCCCTGCAGTGCCACCCAGCAGTGCCTCCCACCAGTGCACAGCAGTGCCCAGGAGTACCACCCACCAGTGCCCATAAGTGCTCAGCAGTGTCACCCATCAGTGCCCCCCATAAGTGCCACCCATCAGTGCTGCCCAGCCAGTACCCAGTGCCAGCAGCAGTGCACTCATTAGTGCCCAGCAGTGCCATCAGTCAGTGCTATCAGACAGTGCCACCCGTCAGTGGCCATCAATGCCGCCTATCAATGCTTATCAGTGTCACCTATCAGTGCCCATCAGTGCTGCATATCAGTGCAGCAGCATCAGTCCCTCATCAATGCCCACCAGCGACGGAGAAAAATTACCTGTTGGCAAAATTTTTATAATAGAAACAAATAAAAACTTTTTTTTTAAAAAATGTTTTGCTCTTTTTTTTTATACACCCAGTAGCGATTAAATACCACCAAAAGAAGACTCTATTTGTGTGAAAAAAATTTGAAAAATTTCATATGAGTACAATGTTGCATGACCACGCAATTGTCTTTCAAAGTGCAACAGCGCTGAAAACTGAAAATTGGCCTGGGCAGGAAGGGGGTATAAGTGTCTGTTAGGCAAGTGGTTAATTTATGTGATGTGGGCACGTCCTAACATTTTTCCCAGGATGTATGAAAAATGTCGTTGGTTCACTTTCACAACCCACCTTATCATTTTGCATATAAAAAAAGTCTCTTTTGGTTAATCAACTATCTAAATAGTGTGCAGGAAATTTCCTCTATTATTACATTTATGGAATGCTAGGTACAAATGGCTGGACCAGCAGAAATTCACTTGAGAGACATTTACATTTATCACATTGTTATGCTCTTACCCCAATTTTCTGTGGAGAACGGAAAGATTCCTTTTTCACTATTCGTAGATAGAATGCAGCTGGAAGAATGAAGATCAGATTTGTTGCTGCAGATGCACCTACAATTACAAGAAATTTGTATTATTCATTTTTGTACCAATTTGATATGCCTTTTTTAAAGTGAAACATTAAAATACATTTCAGTAAACATAAATCCTCACATGACAGCTATTTGTACAAGTCAAGTGCTTTAGCTGCTGGCCATCCTATCATCAGTCATATAAAGAATCAACTGAAACTGCTCTCAAAATAGATAACACATCTGTTTCTAAAGTCACATCATTTGGGTTGATTTGCTAATGAGTACAGAATGTTTCCTTAGCTTTGTGCATTTGGTGAAGCTATATTCAACTGGAGCGCTTGTATCCCATGAATACAATCATGTATCTCCATATAGTGTAATTATAAATCAAAGTGACCACTATATATAATAAATGTGTGTTGACTCCCTCTAGTGAAAAGAAAAAATAGTGTCAACCAAAATAGCTAAATAACACACATTAGGAAACTAAATATATAGTGCATAAATCAAATATAAATGAACAGAATATATATACGTGAAAACAGAATATTGGCCACATACAATGGTGTCTAAATTATACATAAATGATAATGCTAGGTGAACAAGACAATATCAAAGGTGAAAAAAATATTCCAATGTGACTGTGCTTTAAGCTGGAACCACACACGTGATCTTCACTTCTAAGTGCAAGTACTCTCCTTCAAATGGCAGCAATGCCTGCTCACCTCCCTTTCGACCCACACAGGGCCTCAAAGCAGTTACCACCTCAGTGGTGTATTCCTCTGGCAGACTCCTTATTCCTCCTCCTCTCTTATGCAACTCATAAAAAGACAAGAAAGCCTTCCATAGTGTTCAAAGTTTTATAAAGTTTTCCACTCACATGCTCCTTTCCATAAAAAAGCGTTTTTCCCAGCCTGTGGGTAGATATGCATGCACCTGGGGGAATCCAATATGGCCACTGTGTCCGGACATACGTCACCAGGAAGTAGACAAACTTCCTGGTGACGTATGTCCGGACACAGTGGCCATATTGGATTCCCCAGGTGCATGCATATCTACCCACAGGCTGGGAAAAACGCTTTTTTATGGAAAGGAGCATGTGAGTGGAAAACTTTGTAATTTTTAACTTTGCCTATTAAATTTACTACACTATGGAAGGCTTTCTTGTCTTTTTATGAGTTTGCATAAGAGAGGAGGAGGAATAAGGAGTCTGCCAGAGGAATACACCACTGAGATGGTAACTGCTTTGAGCCCTGTTGGGTCGAGGAAGGGAGGTGAGCAGGCATTGCTGCCATTTGAAGGAGAGTACTTGCACTTAGAAGTGGAGATCACGTTGTGTTCCAGCTTAAAGCACAGTCACATGCATGGAATATCACCTTTGATATTGTCTTGTTCACCTATGGCATATATCATTTATGTATAATTTAGACACCATTGTATGTGGCCAATATTCTGTTTTCACGTATATAATATTCTGTTCATTATATTTGATTTATGCACTATATATTTAGTTTCCTAATGTGTGTTATTTAGCTATTTTGGTTGACACTATTTTTTCTTTTCACTAGAGGGAGTCAACACACATTTATTATATATAGTGGTCACTTTGATTTATAATTACACTATATGGAGATACATGATTGTATTCATGTGATACAAGCGCTTCACTAATTTTTAATTTTATTTTGCACTTATTGGTATCAGCTAAGTGACAGCAGCTGTATTTTGTCAATTATTCCCATGAGCGCAAGGATCCCTTATTATTTATATCAACTGGAATACCCATTTGCTTGGAGAGCTTCACCTTTATAGGCACAGCTTCACCTTATCGATTAAGCTCAGTAAACATTTAGTTTGCCAAGTTAAAAATCTCTACTCTTTTAGTAAATCAACTCCACTTGCTTATGAACAGGTAGGTTCCTTTTAAGGAACAACTCAGCAAATTGTTTTTATTCTGGTTGGAATTGGGCAGAGTTTGGTGCCTGTTGGGTTTTATCTGGCACCAGACAGTATATGTTAGTAGATATGATGGTAATCTGGAGTTAGCCTTGCTGCAGGACATGATTACTGTATACAAAGCAGGAGGAAAATTCCCCAAAATCTCAAGTTCACCTATTATATACATATTTAATTTAGTGTTAAAAAAAAATGCAGACTGAATAACATACCAATGAAGCCAAAGATATCCTTAATAGTGGGCACAAATATGACCAGAGTATTATTAAAAACCAAAAGGATGAGGGCAATCACGAAATGCCTAAGCAAGCTGAATGGCCTTCCAGGAAACAACAGTGTAGTGAGTGATGAGCGAATCTGAAAAACATAAAAGGAATAATATATGTAATGCACAGATTATAATTCTTAGTCCTCATGCACACGGGATGTTTTGATAAAGCTGGTAACATTAGCTGTGTAAAGTCACATTAAAAACTAGAGTTTTTCAGCTTTTTTTTTTAGCATTTTTGCACTGCCGTTTAGCGGCGTTTTTCCACGTTTGCGTTTTTAGCATTTTTAACCATAGTAAATAATTTTTTTGTCAAACAAATGTCCAAAAATGCCAGTTTGAGGCGGTTTACCGTGTTTTACCACGTTTTGCTGCGTTTCAGTGTTTTTACAGCTAAAAAAACTCCTCTAGAAACCCACTAGTCCTAGGTGTCCTCCCCCCCCTCCGTCCCTGTAGTCTTTTTTGAGACACGTGACAGGTCCCAGAAGACTACGGGACCATGCAGGAAGCGCAGTGCTACTTGCGCATGTGCAGTGGGCACTCGGCTGTGAAACCGCAAGCAGTGGGCACCTGGCTGTGACAGCTTGCGGCTCGACAGCCGGGTGCCCACACTGAAAATGCTGGCGCCCGGAACACTGGACAGCCGATGAAATGGGCTGCGGAGAGGACATCGCGGGATCGAGGGACAGGTAAGAGGCTGTTTTTTAAAAGTCAGAAGCTACAGTTTTTGTAGCTGCTGACTTTTATTTTTTCACAGTGCGACTGGAACTCCACTTTAATATTATAGTGGAGACCTATAAATAATTAAAAAGGGGAAAAAAAAAATCTGTTTTTTTGTCAGGTAAAGATAAAATATTGCACATGAATGCTTTATTGTTTTATTTTCTACTGATTATCTTCTGTACAACTGCCCTGTCAGATTTTTGCCATTTGATCAGTGCCGCCAGCTGTAGCCTGCAATGCTGATCAGTGTATTCTGATGGCAGAATACAACAGCTGAGCAGGGAGGATTCCCCCACCCACCTTGTATGTGTGAATGGGGGAATCGCTCATTGAACAAAAAAAAAAAAACTGACTAATGTATGGGCTGGCTGCATGTGTTACAACTTGACTAAAATTTCCTTTAAAATTTTAAATGTACCAACAGCTATATATTGTTAGGGTATACCTGACTGTATATGTTAAATATGTTTCCTTGATAAGCCTGCATACTATAAAATAAAAAAACAGGATTTAAAAACCTATACCCTTTGGCTAATTCTCAAGCAGCTCATCCTCAGCATCGTAGGAAGGTGCTTCTGGATGGATTCAAAAGCTGCGCGTATGCAATGCGTTTTAAATGAAATCTGCCATAAGAGAAACAAGGAGACTGCCATTGCTGAGCTCTCATTTTAAGTCTTCATGCACACTGGACGTTTTTACAGCAGCTGTTTTTGTCTTTTTATGTTTTTTTCTACAGCTAGTAAATCCCCCCCAGCATGTTATCCTATGTGTCCATGCACACATAGACTGTAATCAACGCTTTTTGGCTCGGAAGTTTTTTGACTGGAAAAAAAAAACAGGACTAGTGGGTTTCTAAAGGAATATTTTAGCTAAAAAAACGCTCTAATGCTGAAAAACGCTCAAAAACGTGGCAAAAGAAGGTAAAAACGCCACAAACTGGCATTTGTGGACGTTTGTTTGACCAAAAAAGATTTTTTTTTTTTTTGGGAAAAAAAAGACACTAAAAAAACAAAAATGTGGAAAAAATGTGCCAAAATTCCACTAAACAAGGCAAAACGCCACTAAACACTAAAAAAAAAAGCTGATAAACTCACGTTTTTACATTTTTTAAACTGACTTTATACAGCTAATGTTACCAGCATTATCACAACGTCCAGTGTGCGTGAAGACTAAAAACACTAGTTGTCTTTCTTTTGCATTCACCCTCTTGCCTCCAAACTTTGAATCACTGACCTGGAAAAAGAATGCAGATATAGAATTCTGACTTCTCCGATTTTCTTTCTTTTCTTTCTGTATACTTTCTCTGGCTCAGTGACTCACAGTATCAAATCTAGTGGGTCATTTTTCAAAAGGCAGCCTGATATATGATAGGTTTACTTTAAATTTGAAAATTTTTTAGCATGTTTAGGCCATCTCTGAAATGCGAGAGATTTTTCTTTTTTGTAGCTATTTTTTTTTTTACAGTGCTCAGACCAGTCAGTTTTCTGGTTAAAAAAGAACGGTCAGCTAGGCTGTAGCAACATTATTCCTGGAGCTTATTACATTTTTTTTTCAACATAGTTTTTATTAGCATTATTGGCTATCTTAGATTTGAAGTTCTAATGAGCAGGGCCCTCTGTTTCCTCTTGTACCAAATTGTATTGTAACTGTTATGTCTACCTTCATTTTGTAAAGTGCTGCGCAAACTGTTGGCGCTATATAAATCCTTTATTATACTACTACTAATAATAATAATATTTATCTCTAGGCTCTTTAAGATTATAATAAATCTAAATTCGCATAGCTGGTACTCAAAATTGTAAAGCAAGATCAAAATATAAAAATGAATAATATACAATATTTTTAGTATATATGATAGACACCCAAATATACATCTTATATGTAAACTACATTTCCAGTAACTCTAGATGCAAGCCTTCTACTTCACTAGCTGAAGGAAAGTAGGTGAAAGTTCAACTGTGGTTTGAAGCAGATTAAATTGCTCTGACAAAAATGCTTTTGGCGAGGAAAGGGCCTGCTACCATGTAATTAGTTTTTCACTGAAGCAGCATGCTCTTTATCAATGCAAATGATAAAAAAAAAAAAAAAAAAAAAAAAAAATTTACATATTGGTAATAATATTTAAAAAAAAAACATGATTACAATAAAAACTGCTGACAGTTTTCAGTAGAAAATAAGAATATGATATGTAAACCAACGATGCAACCTATTTTATGAGCATATATTGAAAGCCTGAATCCTATACTGAGATTTTGTAATTCATTTACTACTAATAAGCGGCTTACAGTTGATGACTACACACATCTCAGCCTTAAAGTATAACTAAAGGCAGAACTTTTTTTTTTTTTAGATTTGGATAGAGTGGGGAGGGATTAGAATGCCTGTTTGTTTGTTTGTATTGCTGTCTGTGCCCCCATTAAGGAGATTCACCCCCTCTCTTTGTCCTATTTACCATTAGCATTGAAAGCAAAAGTAAAAGAGAGTCCTGATAAAAGCAATAGAGGGGAAATCTTCCAATGGGGACACTGGTTCTGGTGACCTGGGGGTCCCCAAGGAATTCCCTCAATTTGCAGAGATTTCCTCTCACTACCTGTTTGGCTATGAGACAGGAAGTGAAGGGAAATCTTGGAAATGGGACAAAAAAAAAAATCTGACAGAGATTATAACCTTCCTTGCTCTATCCGAAATGAAAAAAAAAAGTTTTTCCTATAGCTCTACTTTAATTCAAATAGCAAAACTTTGCAGCCGATTACAGAAAAGTTTTCAGCAGTTTAGTACATAAAGGTTTTTTGTTGCTCATAGCAAGGATAGTCACAACTGATTCTTCTGGTTCTCTTTCTGACACATAATAAATAAATAATCCTCTTCGCCGGGTGCCCCCATGGAAAGATGATTTGCATTGGGGCACCCGTGTGGGCTCGCTCCCGACCTGCCCTGTCCATTGATGAAGAGTGGGCAACTCAGCTCCGGCCCTGCTCCCTCAGCATAGCATTTGATTGACAACAGTGGGAGCCAATGGCTCCTGCTGCTATCACTCTGCCCATGGAGGAGGGAGACAGCGGCGAGAGCTACTGCTCTCTTGTACATCGCTGGATTGGATCAGGCTCAGGTAAGAAAAAAAGAGGGGGGTCTGGTGGGGATTGTGCAGCACAGAAGGTTTTTCACCTTAATTATTATTATTATTATACAGGATTTATATGGAGCCAACAGTTTGCTCAGCGCTTTACAATATAAAGGGAGACCAGGGGCGGACTGACCATTTGGAAACTTGGGCACCGCCCGAGGGCCCGGGGTCAGTAGGGGGCCCCATGAGATGCCCCTGGTACCTTTTTCATAGGCTTTTTTGAGTTTAGGCAAGGACACAGGGGCCTCATGAACACCTAATTCCTGGGGGCCCCAGGGGCATCTCATGGGGCCCCCTACTGACCCCGGGCCCTCGGGCAGTGCCCGAGTTTCCAAATGGTCAGTCCGCCCCTGCTGCCAAAAATTTAAAAGTTCCTGCTTTGGGCAGGTAAATGGGCTGAAATGATCATCCCAGTCCGAAAGCAAAGAACAAGCATCTGAACCCCGTATCTAGGGTTTGTAGTGTACAGAAGAGAACTAGGAAGGCCAATAATATTTTTGTCATTTCATTTCAGTGCACAGAAAGTAACAAGGACAGTAGATTTCTGGTAGGATCAACGGGTATTTTTTTGTACTTGAAGAAATGTACTTAAACTGAAAAATGTAAAACTAATACAGCCACCACATCTAAGGACTGGTAAGCTGTAATATGTTATATTTTTGTTTTATTGGAGGGTTTAGATATACTATAATAAAATAGTGAACATGTGTTCACTTCAATCGTCCAATAATTTGCAAGCACAAATCCTGTTTTCTATCTTTCCCTTGCATGACTGGATTTTTCTTTTGAACAAAGAACCTTCTCTCCAGTTAGTAAATCAATGCCAATGTATTTAAAATGAATGAAATCACACAGGTTTAGATTTGTATTAGATACTTATGAACTAGATATTATTAAATTCAGTACTAATGTATTCAAAATAATGTGACTGCAAATGTGTGTTGTGTTAGAATATATGCGTTTAGGGTAATATTTAGCTACTAATAACATGGTCATAAATCACTATCTCAAATGAGGACTCCAATGTCCCAGCTAGTTCCCGTACCTATAAATTGAGTTATTAACATGGATGAGTGCGGCCACCTGTTTCCTGTTTCTGCTTTAGTGTCTAGTGCTTTTCTTTTGAAGCCACACTACATTTGCAGTACATCAGCTTCCATATATCACAGCATAGCTTCTGAACACTGCAGTATAAATAGAAAGCTGTAGTGAGAATTTGTAGGATCTAAACTCAAACTATTC